GAGCCGCATCTGATCTTGCGGGTAGGGCCTGCGATGACGAAAATGGGAAGGGGACCGCCACATTTACCTGTCGCCGAAGCAAGCCGTATGGTATCACTGCATGACATCTTGGTGTAGGCCGGCTCTCGCAAGAAGCTTTATTGAAGCAGCTGTGTTGCTGCCACGTAGAACTGATGTAGTAGAATCGCCAGGATAACAACATCGGTGCGAGATTGTGAGTAGCATATTCAGCGAACACACACCACGGAAACAGCAGTGGCAGCACGTGCTGACACTAGCAGCCACAGAAGCAATACGTACAAGCAGGACGATCAGCGGGTTGTCAGCTCCTGAATCTTATCGTGACGAGCCCCCGACAAACGATGCACCATTTGTATCAGCTATCGTGAGGCGATGGAAAGACTCGCCGAGACTGCATCAACAAGCACGACAGGTTGCTCAGCTCCGAGCCCACGGCATGCCTCCAGTAGACCACTTGCAACAGTCTGCAAACAAGCATCTGAGGCTGGCGCGACGACGAAGCTCGGATTAGCCAGGCCTTCGACGCGACAACGCATGCGCTGAAGATTCGTCCATCGTGGTTGCGGCAAATACTCTCAGGCGCCAACTCGAAAGTTGCCGCACACGATGTAGTGGCTCTAGCCGTATTCACACGACAGCTCGCAGGTACAAAGACGATGGAACTTCGGAGCAAGCCGTGCCCGCCGTCCCTTAGTGCGTGCAGGATCAGCTTGATGGAGACAGGCACCAAGCTCATCAGGGGTACCGCCGTCCTCGCACAATCTCGTCTACTCACCATCGAGGAACAGGGCACCCACGCTGATGTCCTGCAGGCAGGTCATGCTTTGCCCCATGCGCAGAACACCCGTGCCTGTCCGGAGGCATTAAACTACGAAGCCGAGCGGACCTACGGCTGGGTACTCCAAGACGTCCATGTACATCCAGAGCCCTTCGAGGCAGGCATCATGGCACGTCTCAGAAAGTAGGAGAAGCGGTATCTGCGCAGATACCAACATGGGCGGCCCGTGGATCTGTAGTATGGCTTCGACGTGAACACTGCATGAGCCTAGCCCGTCTACCGCCAGAGGCGAGAACACGCCGATGCAAATCCAAGCGGAAGCGTTCCGAAAGTATCACCCAAACGTGAAAGGGTCGTTGTCGCAGAAAACGAGAGCGCCGCCACGCATGCGCACATGCGCTCAAACCTGTTCTGGCATCTGAGAACATGTGTCCCACTCTCACCCGTCTCGCAGAACCTGCTCGGACCAGACCTACGCCCCCCATTCGCCCCGGGAAGCTGCCTTCGCAGCGATGGCAGCACACCTCGAGCCCGACCTGTATCAGGAAGTCGTCGTGAGCTTCATCAACGAGGCCCGCCAGGTGGCGGTCCGCTTCGGAATAGAGCAGCCGCTGAGGCTGACTCGTATGCCGGTAGACACCACGACTGGCATCAGGCAGCTTTCGCGACACATGCAGCTTAACGAGGAAGACACCGAGTGGTTGACATGTCTGGCCTCGCACCTCGAACCAGAGCTGGGAGGAGTCCTCGTCACGGCACTATGGCAACTCAAGGACGACATCGTTGCTTCAACAATGCGACGGCAAAGGCCTCGAGAACCGTCGCCATTCAGTCTACCACCAGCCGCGATGGAGTCGTCCGATGCCGAGAACAGAACGCTGCTAGCACCCGAGCGAAGGAAACGCCCACGATCGGCTAGCTCCTGATTCCACCACGTGCGAGGTGGGCTTAGTAGGAATGTGCATCTACGTGCAGCAGAGAAGGTCATAGCTGTCACACAACTTCGAATCATCTGCACAGGAGACCGGAGCTGGAGCAAAGATTCAAAGTGTCGGAGGACCCGTTAGTCTCGGCACAGTGCAGACACGCTGTAGCAGCTCGCCCGCAGTCAAGTACACCCGGCCTAACGCACCAGGACTGCGCGTTCACTGCCTTGCCGACAACTTAGTGCCACGCTGCATGAGCTCAAGAGGGAGCAGTGTCTCCGAGCACCAGGGCTGAAGCGCACCGTCTCGCCTGTACAGTAGATGAAGCTTGCCTCAGAACGATGCTCGTGAAATACAGACAAAAGGCACCGTGCTCCGCTGTGCACGACTCGAGCCCGACCTCTTTCTGCCACACGAGGTGTTACTTCTAGGCAACCCGCTAGCAGCCCCGCCCGATAACGAAAAATCCCTACCCCGATTTCACTTACTTTGGGCCTCCTCAATAGTTTCAAGCTTCACCTACTCCGTCAAGAGCTCTAGGTTTCACCTGTTCTGAGCCCCTTCCAGAGTTCCAGGTTTCACGTCCTCTGGACCCCCAAGAGCTCCAGGTTTCACCTACTCTGAGGCCCTTCTGTCTCAATCCAACCATCGTCCCGATACACCCCGTGAGCCGTCTGATCAAGAGAAGTCACTGACAGTTCACGTAGACCCGATATGACGATCGCCATCACAATGATGTTCTGGGCCTACGAGTACAAGCACATCCGGCCAAGCGGAAGGATTGCGCGCCACGGGGAACGGCTGACCCTCTGTCTCTGCATTGCGGTCAGCGACGAGCAGCCCCAGGGCCGCACAACAGCATCGTAGCTCTGAAACGGACCCCGCTCACAGCCCAGTGTAACGTATACATCCCTGTACACCCACGTGCGAATACATAGAAGGAAGTAAACAGTAGTGGCACTCGGTGCCCAGGCAAGCGAGAGCATCGCCCTACTGTATCTTTACGACCCGCTACGGCACGAGCACCAATGCCCATGGAGGTTGGTATCTCAAGCGCATCGGCTCCTTCACCAGGATCACGCCACGATTCAACATCATGGGACCGGGATACATAAACACCCAGTTGTATCTGTACGGAGTCTTGGCTGCACCCCAACAGCACATGTCCATGAGCGACGAGTTCGACATCCTCTTCCCACCCCCCCACACACCCAAGCGCAGCGTAGGTAAAGACGGCGCCTACGTCGGCACGCACCCCAAGAAGAAGGGTCACGACATCATCCTGCAGTTTCGCGACTACTACTGTGAGACAATTCGAGTCCGACGTGCCATAGCCATCTGAAGCAGCGCATACCAGCGCGACAACAGCGGCTAGAAGAAAAGGTGGTGCACGGCCACTGTCGTGTCGCGTGGACTAAGACTAAGAAATCCACAGTCCGACGAGCTGTGAGGATGCATGCACAACAAACGCATGTCAAATCATCTGCACGCAACCGACCGCAGTGCTAAGATCATCAACTGTGCTACGGCACCAGCCCTAGCCAGCCGCAGCCGCGAAGCCCCGTGCGATACCAACAGCCATGGCTCTCTCTCAGGACATGCAGCTGCAGAAGAAAAGGCGCTTCTCCGCGATCGACATCACGCCGTCCCGGAGCAACGGCACCGGCGATGCAGAAGGCAACGAGCTGACGGCAGTAGTAAGAAGGTGGGGGAGCGCCTTCACCGTGTTCGAAGGTGCGGATCGAGACACTCCCCTGTGGCAGCTCCAGATCTGTCACACCGGACGGAATTCTTTCGGGTACCAGGTGCTGGCAGTTGCCAGAGAAGCGGTGCAGAAACATCCCAATCCCAACGTCCGGGATCTGCAACAACTGGAGTCGATCCTCCAGGTGCGACTCCTGAACGGGGCGCCGCCCCAGAATGGTCCGCTGGACCCGGACGGGACAGGGCTGGAAGCTTGGCAAGTCGTTCTGTACTCAACTTCGGTCTCAGCTGCATTGGACTTCGTCCAACTGGTGCTGAGCCACAAGGTCACCAAGGGACACTTGCTGCAACTGCCCCCCCTGCACATCGCAAGTCCAGACGGCGCGGTGGACACGGTGCCTCAGCCCTGGAAGTCGAGTCACTATCCGCTACACGGCCCGAAAGCCTTCGCAGCGTTGCCTCCAAGAGGACGCCGCCACGTTTTGTGCCAGGTCGAGCTTCGTCAGTCTGCGGTCAAGACGACCAACAGCCAGGATTCGGGACAGGCAGAGGAGACGAATATGGACACCGAAGCCGACGACAACGCGAAGGCCATCTACACAGTCAGCATTTTCGGAGGCATCTACCCGTACCGCGAACTCTTCGATGCGGCCAACATCTCCGGTGGACACATAGCACAGCCGGACGGCAATCGCGACTACGTGCGATTTCTGGAAGTTCACAACGACGACCAAGGCAGAGACAGATTGACGTCGCTCTTCGAGCAAATCCTGCTCCACGTACCCGTGTACCTCATCGACTCCACCCAGACCCTCAACGACGAGATGGTGTCTTGGATCGGCAGCCTACCATCGGTGGAGCTCGGAGAGACGAGCTCCTGAAGATCCTCGCTGAGGCTCCCTGTACAGGCCTTCCTTGCAACGTGCGGCGTGGCGCACTGCACAGAGCCCGCCCTTCGGCAGACAGAAGGAGAGACCAGTCCGCGACCGACAGCGAAAAGAAGGCATGGCGGCGTGAGCCATAGCGTTGCCCGAAAGGGAATGCAGAGTGAAGCCGTGACCAAGGAACACTCAGTGCGCGCAGCATCCCGAGACCTCGAGCCAAGGTAACAGGACCTGAGCCCTCCAGCCCCAACTGCCGTGGTGCCGACAGCATGCATAACGCCAACGGCTCGACCCCCTCTCCGAGCGCCGCCAACAGCCTCGCTGACGCATTCAAGAGAGCAGCACACAGCGCGGAGGAGATCCCGTTGCCGACTGTCGTGGACCAGGACGGGGACCTTAGACGAACGTTTCCTGTTTACGACAAGCTCACATCCCCGGCGCCAGGATGAGGTCGCGGAAGCCACGGTTCCTGACACGTGCCCAAGAGACACACCATCGGGCCTGGCCGACGACGGGCGCGAGGTCCAGGCAGGTAAGCGGGCTACACATAATCGATCGCCCTCGGTCAGGACTCGCCGCAGACGTTAGGTCGGCCTGATTCTTGTGTAGGCAGAAGGCAAACACTCAGACGAAACGGTGCCAAGGAACCAAGGCTCACATCAGAGAACCGGGGTCCAACACACCAAATTGGATGCAAGGTACGCGAAGAAGGAGAGAGGACCGGCGACCTGCCAGGCAACGGCGCTATATGCTCTCGACGCGAAGGTCCTGTGCCTGAGGAGGGAGACAGAATCATGGTCATGAAGGAAGCTTGGTTGCAGCTCGTCATGAACCGTCTAAAGACTCTGGAGATCCGCGGTGCGCCGGCTGCGTTGGGGAGAACTTGGCTGGGCTGCAATGGCCAAATTCACGGAGCAGCCAACATCGTCAACTGCAGCATCATCACGGAGGCAGACTTCCAAGCCACAAGAGCGCAGCACAGGCACTTGGGAGAAATGCCCAACTACAAGAAAACGTACGCCCTGACTCTGCAAGATGTGACGCAGCTCGAGCCAAGCATCGACTACTATCGGCTGCCAGCCACATCGCCGTGGGCGGTGTTTCGCACCGGACCAACTGGCAAAGCGCGTCGGTCGGGGGCGCAGAAAAGAACTTTGGAGCAAGCGCATGACACGAAGCCATGCGAAGACATGCCGACGGAGCTCCGAGCCGAAGCCAGCCCGTTGCCGCTGACATCCGGCATGGTGGACCAAGAAGAGCCTTCCCTCGGGGCAAGAGACCGGACGGACGAGCATGACGACAGGAACAAGGAGTGAGGTGGAGCAGCCTCACGGCACAGGACTCGTCGGAATGACGAGGGGACCTATTGAAGCCTGTTTCAGGAAAGACCAATGCGGCCCGCGCAGAAAGACAGCCATGCCACTAGGACCCTCACGGATAGATCATGCAAGCACGAAACATGAGTGCCGCATCACATAGCATCGCCGCAACGAGTCGCCTGGTTCTGCCACCCAGGGCCCGAGCAGCTGCCAACGAGCCATGCTGGTTTTCTCGGGCAGACAGGCCTGGGCGGACGTGCAGGAGCCCAGACTCGAACACGCAGCCACGTTCGCGCGATATACAGTGCCGTTGCAGTCAGGACCACGACAACGCCGACGAGGAGGGGACACAGTATGCTCGGAACGGATGTGCTTACCTCAAGCAACAGACGGAAGCCCTGCAGACACTGCAGGACCCGGCGGCCGGCGCACCGCCGAGGCAGGACCACTTCGAGAATCAAGGAGGACCCCGTCGCCACCTCGTCCGACCGAAGCCAGTATTTACTTCGAGTAGACAATCTCACGCCCTGGAATTAATGCTACAATAGCTGAATGCAAGGCAGCAGCGACCTACTCTCCACGAGAACGACACGCCCAGATACAGAGTCGCCGCTACCACGGACGTTGGAAGGCCGTCACAACGGCACCGAATACAACGGCACGACGGATGCCGCAGAAGCAACTTTCGACACCGGTCAGCCGCTCAGTGCAGTCCTTAAAGCCGGATTGCAGGACCAGCACGATCATGCACAAGAGACCGTACCCAGGCGAGACGCAACTGAATCTCGAGCTAGCAGAATTCGTGCAAAGCGCCCTGTCTCGTCGCTGGGGGCCCGAAGCACTGCAAGACTGGCAAACCAGCATGCAGCGCCGCTGCCTCCGACATCGTTTCCCTTGTCGACTCTGGTATGAGTTTATTTACGAATGGCGAGTAGAAGCGGAGCCAGCAGACCCACACACCCCGACCGGCGTCGGAAATCCGACGGTATCGGGCCCTGTCGCGACGTCGTCAGCGCAACAGACGCTGTGCGACATTCGAGTACACGCAGCGCACATCATCCTGATAACATCCCAGCCGACCACGGCAGAACCCGTCACAGGGCAGCTGTCCGTACAGATTCGTAGACTGTGAGATAGGACCAGAGAAAAGTGGAGAGCCAGCAGACTTCAACATCGCCGTCCGCGCTGGCAGAAACAAGAATCGTGGTCGCAACCGGCATCTGAGTATCATACAGAAGCAGCTGCAGCCATAGGATCATCAGGAGCGTATAGTCCGGGGCGCACACCATGGCCATTCTCCTGTACTTTCTGGAAGCAGAGTGCGGCGTCCTGCTACGGCGGATGCTGACGCCAGCGGAGGTCCTCCTTCTGCTGCAAGTCGGCAGGTCCTCGAACATGAGAAGACTGGCGTGGGCCCGAGCCGTTCTGGCAGATGTGGCCAGGTTACGCAGGGTCTTGGAACCCTTGAGGACCATGCGACTGCGTTTCCCCGGCTTCGATCTCCCCGTTAGCATCAGGTACACAAAGGGCTGGGCTCCCCCAGACCCCTCGGACCCGCTGGAGACCTTGGGTCCCGTCGAGGATCTGCTCTATTGGTTGGACGACTTCGGGCTCGGAGGGTTCTCCCCCGCCGAAGCGGTGCTGGTGATGAACGCGTGGCCGATACAGACAAGGGACGCGGGCGCGGCTTTGAGCGACCTGCTGGAAGAATCGGACAGCCACTTCTTCTATTCGGCCAGGCCCGCCGCCTTCCGAACGCAATTCCGACCTACTCTAGTAAACGTAGTCGTCTTTTTCACTTACAGAGGACTGAACACCGTCCTTCAGATGCAAGACGTCGTCAACGACGGGTTTTACACATAGACAGACAGTTGCCGGAGAGGAAGCAAGTCCGAAGCGACCCCGCGTGACGGCATTCCACGCGACAGACGAAAAGAAGACAGACTGTGCCTTCCAGATAATGAGCAGGAGCAAGTCCGAAGTCGACTCTATCCATCTGTGTCTGTTCTCGAGCACAGGGCATGTCGCAGCCGCTTCAGCGTCAATCAAGAAAGCACGCGCAGGCTCCACTCGGATCACGTCGCCTTCCATGTCGGGCATCGACTACTCCAAGTGGGACCTACTTCAAAGCAGCAGCGACGAAGAGGACTTCGGGAACCCCATCCCGCCGCAGTCTCCGCGACAGCCCATCACGACAGGTCCCTGGGCGGTGGCCGATCCCTGGCACAAGTGCAATCCGCTAGTGCGACGTGAAGTGCTCAGAGAGGAGAAAATTCTCCACAGGTTCGTGCAAGAGCACCCCTGTCCATCCGAGAAAAGCCTCCGGCGCTGGCTTCGCAGCATGAGCGGCACGGAAAGAATCGTTCCCGGAGAGCTGACCTTTGCATGGGTGATGAAAGACATGGGGTGGAACTCCGAGCACTTGGCGTGGTTCCACTACCCGTCCTTCCGGGAGCTCTGGCAGGCGGCGGCCTTGCAAACGGCCGAGGCCTTCACGGTCCAACGCAGTGCGGGCAGCACTTTGTACCAGCGCGGCGGCAAGGAGTGCATGCAGTTCAACTTCTATGCGCTGCAGCACGCCATGTGCGGAGAACATTTTCACACGGACGCCCCACTCCCCGTGTACTCGTACGCGAAACGCCTGGAGCACGTCTGGGACGGGATCGGATCATGGCGAGCGTAGTGAACCGCGCCTAGCGTATAGCTCAGCTAACAGACCAGAGCGGCGACGGCTGCCGCGAGAAAGCAGGCAAAAAGTGCACAGACCCCGATGCTTTAAGCAGTAAACAGACCTACGGAGCGCCAGAGCCAAGTTCGGATTCGACGTCGGCCCGAGCCAAACAGAGATTCGACTAGCGTGAACCGCCCGGACCCAGGACGACCACCACCGGCGACCTGGCATAGTCCAGCAAGCCTGCAGCTGCCATGTCGCACAGGAAAGACCACAAAGATGTGGAGCAGAGCACCGAAGACACCGAGGCTCGGACACGATTCATCCCGTTATCCATGTCTACATGCAACAGCACGCCTGTCTGCCAGGCAACGGATGCCTGCCAGAAAGTACGAGAATTCCTAGGTGCACATCTCTTCCGAGCATGGTGCAGCGCCAATGTGAGCAACTGGACCTATGCGGACGTTCCGGGCGTCTCGGAGATTGCGCCGGAGCAAAACCAGTGCCCATCGGAGGAAACCGTGCGTCAACTGCTGCCCGGCATATCCGAAGTAGACAAGACACCGGAAGGCTTCGACTACTGCATCTACCGACTGCTGTGGCCGAGACGAGACTTAGCGGCACACACCGATATGACCCGTCTCGTGACAATTTTCAAAACCGTGATGGCAGAAGGAGGCCAGCGCAAAGCGTGCCTGTACATCAACCTGTTGTACAGCACCGGGGCCAGTAGTGCGGTCCATCCAGAGAGGTCCGACCCTGCTATAGGACGACTACGGTACCGGGAGCGTCTCTGGACGGCCAGTCAGATCGCAGACACTATCCTAAAGACCATCTAGTTATAGCGGCGTCAGCATTCCATAGGGCACAGCAGCTTCACCGACTTCGCAGGAGCAAAACCGAGCGACCACCGCACCACACGAGCATCGGCCATGTAGCATGCACACTCTTCTGGCAGCTGTGGGCTCGAACCGGACACTTCGAAGTATACTAGAAGACCTCCCGGTACCGGACCCAAGTACAGGCGGAAAGCAGCCATGTCGTTGCGCGACGTCCTTGCCAGCTCCAAGGAGAACGAGGACCCCAACGAAAGCCAGGCACGATCGAGCGCGGCGCTGTAGTTTTGTCTCCACGAACAACCATGAATCCGTGCGATGCCCCGTCCTGTGCACCCGACAGGCCATACGCTCTTTCCGACATCTGCAAGAGTTCCTGTCCGTGCACATGCTCCAGGCCTGGTGCGACGCCTATGTGGACAATGCAACTTACTCAGACCTCTGCGAAGATCCGGATGTGGATCCCATAGAAACCCAGATGCCTACGGAAGCCATCATGCACCGGATCATCAGCGATAGCGTCCCAGCAGGACATATGCGCAGAGCCTTCGAGTACAACTTCTTCGAGCTGCTCTGGCCCAAGCGGAACATCTCGTCGCTGGACGACATGACACGCCATGTCCTGACATTGGCAGCTCTGCTGGTTGAAGGCGGTCCCAGCGCCGTGCGCCTGCACATCGAGTTGGTGTATCGCACCGTACCGGGCGGCCCAGAATATCCCAACGAATGCAGCCCAGTGGCAGCCCTGCGGTATAGGAACCGCCTTTGGGCAGCCAGTGAAATCGCCAAGATCCTTCTGGAGAGCGTCTGAAACCATGTTGCCGGTTGTCCAGGGCACCGCCGCCTCACCCGATGCCCAAACAGAGCGGAGCAAAAAACTGGCACATGCATCGAGCAGCACAGCTGGGCGATGACGGAACTGCTGGCCATGATACTCATTCGCCAATCTCCCCGCAAACACTTCGGCTGCATGCGACACCGGACACCGATCCCTCCGCTTACGGTATGGCCTGCCCGACCAGTTTACTCGCCCTCAGTCTGTAAAGAGTCCGGTGTTACCATGTCTCCAGGTCGCCACGACAACCACGAGGCCACACTCTTGAGTAGCCCGTCGTGGCCAGCATAGACAACTCTGCACCGGCCCAGCTGCGTCCTGCTCAAGCACTGCAGCAGCAAGCCAACGAGACGAGGCACCAAGACGACACATCCCGAGCAACACACTCGCGTAAGGCTTCCTTGAACGGTATTGCGCATCCGATCCACATCCACACCGGCCATGGCACCATGCAATCGCTGCGGCTAACCGCGATCTGGCCGCGGAAGAGGCAGGAATCGTGCTCCAAGTCAGTCACGTGAAGACATGTGACGAAAACAGTCGTGCCAGGCTATTGTGCCAGCTTCGCTTGCCGTGAAGCAGAAACGCAGGAGATGGCACAACAGAAGCAAGCGGCCCGCACCGAGAGAGCGTCCGCCGCAGCTGGCCAATGTGG